TGTGAGAGTGTGAGACATTTCTGAATAGTTTAACAATCAAAAACCATCAACAATGACGTTTGAACTGGGATTCACATGACTTTCTTGTCTCCTATTTTATAAACACACTCACTTCCTTGTTAATAAACAACACAATCAAATATTGATTCATTCATTCACATCTTCAATCAACTGCAACACACTTGACAATAATGACAACCATCAATATGCCATCATATGCTTGCAATCTACAATTGATATAATACCCAACGCAGTACACACAAACATGCAGTATGCAATCAATGATATGGTTGTCGACTCATTCACAATGTTCAGCAAATATCAACACATATCAGAAAGTTTAAATTTATTCAAATCAAATTCATCGACAAACCATCAATCTGAATCTGAATCTGGTTCTTGAAATTCTAAACCACGTCTTTTCATAAAATCCTTCAATTTTTGTCTGGCACTGTATACTTTTCTCCTTGCCATTATATACTCTTCTTCCAATTGGGTTTCAAGCTTTGGATCGTATTTTGAATCAAATATCTCTTCCCCTCTTGCTAACGCTGACCATTTCTCCGATCCAAGAGCTACACATTCATGATATGCTTGCCATTTTTCCTTTCGTGTTTCTTTAGACGCTACAAACCCTTGTTTTATACGATTAAAGGTTCTCTGATCCCGTTCGTTTAATACAATCACTTGATTTGTAACAGTATTGGCGGACTCGCCTTGTCCCATTGGTTGTTGATGGATTTGGCTGGAAGTACTTGGACTGGGTTGATCAATCGGTTGTTTTCGATCTCGTTTTGGAGCACCACTTGGACTGGAATCACCAATCGGCCGTTTCCGACTTTGTTTGGAAGTGCTTGGACTGGGCTGATCAATCGGCTGTTGCTGATCTTTGTTGGGAATATTCAAATCAGTTGCATCTATTGGGTGTTGCTGGGTTTGGTCGGGAATGCTTGAACTGGTTTTATCAGCTGGTTGTTGTTGGTCTTTATCAAAAGTGTTTGGACCGACTTGACCAATTGGGTCAGGAACTTGACTGGAAGTGCTTGGGATGGGCTGATCAATCATGCGTTTCCTGACTTGTTTGAAAATATTTGGACCAGCTACAATCACAGTTGGTCGTTGACCTTGACTGGAAGTATTTGGATTGGGTTGATCCATTGACCATTGCCGGATTCGTTTGGGAAGACTTAGATCCATTGGTTCTTGCTGATATTCATCTGAAGTGTCTGGATTAGGTTCACTGGTTGAAACGGACACTTGACTGGAAGTGCTTGATGCTTGGAGTGAACCATCGTTACCAGTCGGTATCAGTATTGCATTAGTGGTTGCTGCTGCAGTCAATACGAATAAAATATCAACCAATTTCATCAGACTGGTCAATGGGTTTAAACAATTAATACAAAAGTAGTGTTGAAACTGGTGTCGATTATAAAGCTAAAGGTAATCGATTGTATTTATATGTTTTGTATAGCAAACCAACCCTAACCCTTTTAGGTTAACCAACAACACAGGGTTACTTGATTGCTTGTAGTGGGTTACTATCAAACTAGACAGTATGCTGCTCCCTATCCATAATATCAATTTGATCAATTTGATGATCGTGTCGATTAAATTATGCTTTTACGACCCTTTGATCAGGTATATTGAAAAGCACACCCTTCATGAGTGTTGTTTAACCGCAAACGCTTTGATTTACAACCGTATTCATCCAACAATGTTTGTATTCTGCATTGCAATATACAATGGTTATTACACATTGACTGCATTGCGTGTTCCATATACAACAACCACCATATGACACACAATCAGACTATAGTGTTGAATCTACACTTTGTGCACTCTTAGTAACCATGCATTGTACGATCAACAAGTCTGAACCCACATTCATGTATTGTGTTTGACTGTCAATGCTATCAATACAACTCTGTACACTCATTTGTTGTGTTCATCACCATCCAACTCAATATCACCATTTCAATCAATCTTGGTCAATGTTGATGATTTACACGCTAATTCATTATCCAATCTTGTCTGACATTATTATTGGTTTTAATCACGTTTGGTCTGTACAACTGCCATGAGTTGTACTACCATTATCATCGTGTATCTGAACACCAAATA